TGAAACTTTCTACCCTCACCTCAATGACCTGCTGCCCCTCATCATGAGCAAAGCTGTGAGTCTCTCATTCACTGCTCACTGATGAAGGATGTACTTTAACACCTAAAGGCCTACTTGGATCAAGAGCATAATGAATAGCCAATTTTTAACACAGCATGACACAACTTTCATTATTAGAAGTTGTTTTAACCTGAATTAAGGCAAAACACACTGCAGTCATGCTTTTTTGCTAAAACTGCGTAAACTACAGTTAAAACATTGTGACATTTGCACAATTTAAAATAATTATCTATTTTAATATATTTTGAAATGTAATTTATTTCGGTGATGGCAAAGCTGAATTTTCAGCAGTCATTACTCCAGTCTTCAGTGTAACAGGTTCCTTCAGAAATCATTCTAATATTAATTGGTGCTCAAGAAACTTTTATTTTTATCAGTGTTGAAAACTGCTATGCTGCCTAATATTTTTGTGGATTCTTTTTTTTTTTTTTTTTCAGGATTCTTTGTTGAATAGAAAGTTTATAAGGACAGTATTTAATTTGAAAAAGCAATGTTTTATAACATTATAAATGTCCCTTTTGATCAGTTTAATGCATCCTTGCTGAATAAAATAAATTATTTATTTAAAAAAAATCTTACTGACCCCGAAGTTTTCAACAGTAGTGTGTGTATATGTATATATTTTTTTATTGTTAGTTTCATCATCATGTTGTCTTCAATGGTAAAAATCTAAGTAATTATTTATAAATTAAATATCACCATTGTTTTGTATTTTGTTCATCGCCTTGTATTTCATGATGAGCATTTCAACTATTTCCATGGTTACTCTCCGCTGTTTTGTAGAAACCCTCATGTACAGAGGCAGACCGCTCCTTCTCCATTGGTACGATTGGAGAAACCTTGCACTCATTGGTGGGTGTTGCTGGAGGTAGTGCGGTTGCTGGCCGGCTGTCCAATCGGCTGCTGCCAGTGCTTGTAGCCGGAGTGAGGGACAGTGATGCAGAGGTGCGCAATAACAGTGTGTTTGCACTGGGAGCTCTAGCACAGGCTGCTGGACCCATTGTTGCCTCGTATCCTTTATGCGTGTGTGTTTGTGAGCCTGTTCTCTGATCTCCTTGACTCTGTGAACCTTAACTCCTGTGCTTCAGTGATTACCCAATGATGCTCTCCCTTTTCTCCAACCTACTTTCTAAAGAATCTGACCTAAGAGTTATTGACAACCTCTGTGCTGCCCTGTGCAGAATGATCATGAGCCACATCGAGGGGGTCCCACTCGAGCAGGTTACTTCTATCTTCATCTTTAAGGAATGCTTCAACAAAAAATTCTAATTTGCTGGAAATGTACCCACTCTCAGGCCATCCAAGATGTAGATGAGTTTTTGTTCTCCACAGCACATTTTGAAAAATTTAGATTTATATAACTTGCTCACAAATGAAACCTCTGCAGTGAATGGGTGCCATCAGAAGTAGAGTCCAAACAGCTGATAGAAGCATCACAGTAATCCACAAGTAATCCACATATCTCCATGACTAAATTAACATTTTGTAAAGTGAAAAGCTACGTGTTTGTAAGACGCAAATCCATGATTTTTGGCATTTTAACTTTAAACCCTCGCTTCTGACCAAAATCCAAAATAACGCTTCCTCCAGTGAAAAAGTCTCATCACATAAAAATCCACCAACATATGTATGTTTGTATGTATATACTTTATTTTTCACTTGTAAGATAAATTTGTTATGGGCAATACAGGTAAAGCTGCATAACAAATGTACCAACATCAATAACATAAACAATAACATGAGCTGTTTTGTACCGTTTTCACTTGTAAATGGTGCTTGATCGGTGCATATTTCTCTCCTGATTCAGACTAAATTACTTTTTACTAGAGAAAGCAATATTGTGAAAAGAGGACTTTTAAAAAAAATTTTTTAGCTGGAATGGTTTTGGTAGCAATGGTTTGAAGTGAAAGATCACAGCTACGCTTTTACCTTCACATAACATTAGCTGATGAACTTGAGTTTTTAGCAGCTGTTTTAACTCTCATTCTGACGGCACACATTCACTGCAGGGGATCCTTTGGTGAGCAAGTGATGTAATGAAGAAACAAACTCTTAAGTCTTGAACCTCCTACGGGTGAGTACATTTTCAGCAAATTTTCATTTTTGGGTGAACTATTTCTTTAAGGCCCAATATACTCACATTAATTTTGCATTCATCGCTTGGGGGTAAAAAGAAGTTTGAAAATACCAGAGCAGCGTTATACTGTTAGAAACATTCTGCCACAGACCATGCAGCTGTGAGTGGTGTTTAGGTGAATATATAAATGTGTTGCACGCTTTCCTCTCAATAACAAAATAAACACGCAGCAAACATGACAGCAGCTTAAGAAAGCATCTGGTCATAGTGATATAGATATATTTGCAACTCTTTAATTCAGCACTCCAGTAAAGTCACTTCATGTATATTTCTATAGCACTTTAAACAATAGATAGCTATAAAGTAAGCAGATTTACAGTATTAAACAATAGCAGTGCTGCTTTTAATTAGAACTACAACTTCAGTTTCTACTATAAAGCAGCTCTCTAGTGTTGTTAATGTTTTACTCATGTCTGACCTTGATGAACTGAACAGAAGAAATTAACCGGAGAATTTCCATGTCAAACACCGCAGCAATGGTAGTTCGAAGGTGTTTACCAGCCAGAGTGAACAAACTTTGTTTTGGCCTGATTTTATTTGAAATGCCGTCACACAAGTTCACCCTTCAATTTTGTTTGAAGTATATGAGAGCCTTTATTATCTACACTATTTAATGAACTGTTTGATGTATTGTTTAATATTTAATGTACTCTGTATTTATTAACAATGGTTGATATGACAAAAGTATATCAGGTCATAATACCCATTTTTACCCTTTTCTCTCAGGTCTTTCCTGCTCTCGTGGCTTGTCTCCCTCTGAAGGAGGACATGGAGGAGAACAAAACCATCTACAGCTGCCTGACCTTCCTCTACTCACACAACCCTGTGCTGGTACAAGCTCATTTTCACTCCCAGCATGCTCAGCTCACAGCACCTTATTGAATTGTGTCCTGTCAATGGACTGACTGGGTTTTATTTCTCACTCCAGGTTGTTAGTCATCTCAAGCCAATAATATCTGCTGCTGCTCATCTGTTGGGCATGAAGGATGTTGATAATGGTAAGAAAGTGTTTATTTGATTGGAATGTTTATTTTATATTTCAAATGACATTAATAGTTCATCATTTTTGATTTTACGTGTATTTATTCTTTTTAGAAACACAAAACACCCTTCTCGTGCTGCTCAGAGGTCTAGCACAGCATCACACCAAGGAATTTGAGAGTGCGGTAATGTCACTTCCTGATGAACAGAGAAACAAAATGACCCTGGCTGTCACTCAATCATAGCACCCGCCCTTTATCCTAAGTATCCCTTTCACAAGGCCTTCCACTCTCATGAAAGCCAGCCAAATTGATAATAGATTTTTATTAGATTAGAAATGGGCTGATTCAGTTAGCTGAGTATGCGCTCACTGGTGTTCTCAGCTTTCTGTGTTGCAGCAGAGACGTTGAGACTATATTCTCTTAATTTATTGCAATGCTCACTTACGCTTTTTGTCACTTTTACTTTGTTTTACCGAGTTGTCTTTTCTCATTTCTCATTTTTCTTTGTCTCAATGAATCTTCTGCCATCCCCATCTGTATTGAATATTCCATGAAATTCTGGCTTAATATTTGGGTGTGAAGCTTTTGAATTGTCCTTACAGTGAAAGAAAAATATATCTATGAATTGTTCATTGTCGTTCCTGTATTTCTCATAAGCGTGTTTTCTGAAAAGCCATGAATATGCTAAACTTATCCAGAATTAATTTAGGAATGCACAATGTTTCTGAAAAAGCACATTTTTATTATTATCGAAATTGCATTCATTGCATCAGCAAATTAAACCATGAAAAATGAACTGCTGTTCAGAAGTTTGGGGTCTGTAACATTTTTAAGGTTTTAAAGGCTGCATTTATTTGATTAAAAATACAGTGAAAACAGTAATATTGATAAATATTAGAATTGAAAATAACGTTTCCTATTTTATTACATTTAAAAAAATGTAGTGAAAATAAATTCAGCATCATTTCTTCAGTGTCACATGATCTTTCAGAATTAATTTGGTGGTCAAGAAATTTCTTATTATCGGTGTTGAAAAGAGTTGTGCTGCTTCATTTATTCTTTAGAAATCATGATACTTTTTCCAGGATTCTTGCTGAATAGAAAGTTCAAAATAACAGCATTTATTTGAAACAGAATTATTTTGTAACAAATGTCTTTACTGTCACTTTTGATCAATTTAATTCATCTTTGCTGGATAAAAGTATACTGTGTATATAGTTACTGACCCACAACTATTGAACGTTAGATAAGTAATAAAGATTTATTTCATATAGAGATACATTGTGTAGGTAAAGCTGTCCCTGATGAAATTTATGAATATTCTAAAATACAAAAAAACAGCAAGAGATTGAAACCTCTTTTTGTTGAACATTACCCACAAAACTTCAGTTATACGGTCACTTAAAATAAGTCAAATGTATCCTTCAGTTACAGCATAGCACACAGAATTTAAACTGTTGTGCACCAGTTTAAAACGCCCAAAATCTGAAAGTGTCATCTGAGGTGCTAGGTTGCTTTAGCCTAGCTGTCAAACGTCTACCACTCATTCCTCGCTTGGCAAGTCTCGTTTTTCTTCGGTCTTCTGCCAATTGGACTTGGACTCTGACAGTGTGTCCAAAGCCAGAGTCATTTCCACTGGCTGGCGTTCATTTTCAGCTGTGGGGGAGGGAGGGAAACAAGAATATTCTTTGTCATGTTTAGATAGGAAACTTTATTGCACATGAGATTTCCATGACAAATTCTACACACAAACCCGGAAGACTTTGAGGTTGGAAAAGAGGTATGTTAAGGGAGAGAGCGAATATCAAATTGATGAAATTTATGAATATTCTAAAATACAAAAAAAAGCAAGAGATTGAAACCTCTTTTTGTTGAACATTACCCACAAAACTTCAGTTATACGGTCACTTAAAATAAGTCAAATGTATCCTTCAGTTACAGCATAGCACACAGAATTTAAACTGTTGTGCACCAGTTTAAAACGCCCAAAATCTGAAAGTGTCATCTGAGGTGTTAGGTTGCTTTAGCCTAGCTGTCAAACGTCTACCACTCATTCCTCGCTTGGCAAGTCTCGTTTTTCTTCGGTCTTCTGCCAATTGGACTTGGACTCTGACAGTGTGTCCAAAGCCAGAGTCATTTCCACTGGCTGGCGTTCATTTTCAGCTGTGGGGGAGGGAGGGAAACAAGAATATTCTTTGTCATGTTTAGATAGGAAACTTTATTGCACATGAGATTTCCATGACAAATTCTACACACAAACCCGGAAGACTTTGAGGTTGGAAAAGAGGTATGTTAAGGGAGAGAGCGAATATCAAACACTCAACACACCCACAGGAGAGAGTGCTGAGCATGCGAATACCAAACACGCTTACTCAGCAGCCGTGAGCGTTACGTTAGCTCACCTCACTGATCTGCAGATGTCATCTGTTAGCTAACTCAGGAATAGAACGTTATATTACTGCAAGCCCTGACACCGCTGCGGCCTAATGCAAACTGACAGACTGATCAAAATGCTGATTAAACCGTACTTCAGCTGGACTGTAGTAATACCGATTGTAATTAAGTGTGGAGATGGAAGTATTTGTACAATGAACAACAGCATACTGTGAAATCTGTTTGGTTAGGTTTAATTGGGTCTTTATGTACATTGTTACTCTTTCTTGATTATTCGGTGTATATTTTGCAGGTTTCATGTGTGCTGAACTTAATTTCTCAAAGATATTCTAAATTAAACTCGTCCACATGCCAGAACAAATCAATCTGTGCAGCCAAAAGCCACTGCAGAAACCATCATCTTAATAAGCTTTCAACTGCAAAATCCAGCAGTCACATTTTATTGGACTGCATATGCAGAACATTTCTGCAGTGTTATTTTACTATTACTTGTATATTATTATAGTATTTATTAATCATTTTAATTAGCTATTTATTTTTGTAATTTCAGTTTTCTTTTTTGTCTTTAAATATTGCTATCTTGCTTTATTCTATTTTTTTTAGTACTTGTTTGTATAAAATTAATTTAGTTAGCTGGTTTGTGCAAATGTTAATAAAGTGAGTCTCCTATGTGTTAGTCTTAGTTGGTTAATATCAACATAATTTATGAATATCTGGTGCAAAATTTCATGAAGGGAAACCCCACAAATTTAGTTAGTTGGTTTGTGCAAATGATAATAAAGCAAGGCTCCAATGTGTTAGTCTTCGTTTGTTAGTTATCATTAATATCAACATAATTTGTTATTAATTTCTGGTGCACAATTTCATGAAGGGAAACCACACAAATTTAGTTAAGAGTTTTAGTAACCTAACACCATTGCTTTACTGAATATACATTTTAATGAAAGAGCATAGAATTACAATAATAATACCCTTTCAATTCTATTCTCCAGGTTCATACGTTTAGCTGCACTTTGTCGATTAACACGGACAATTTAGGCTTCTTTCTCAATTTAATATACAATGAATAATAAGTGTAATACGGAACAAGGCATTTCAGAAGATTTAAAAGCAGAAATGTGCAGCTCCTATTTTTGTTAAAACATGTTAATTCTTCCGAAAAAAAAAATTGTATGGAAGAATTTTAATTTGAAATTGTTCCTATATCTTACTAATATAATGTGATCTAATATCTTGTAGTTAAACTTTCAAAACAACAGCTTTATTTTGTATATAGGCTTTTAATGTAGATTGTTTTTATTTTGATGCTTTTGTTATTTTTATTAGTTATTGTTTAGATTTGTCTTTAATAGTGCTTATTAATTTTAATTTCAGTTTTAGTTATAGTACATTATTTTAGATTGAGTTTAAGGTTTTAATATCAGTTAAATTTAATTTATGAAAAATGGTTTTAGTTTTAGTTAACTATAATAATAATTTATGCATTTAGCAGACGCTTTTATCCAAAGCAACTTCCAGTGCATTCAGGCTATACATTTTTTACCAGTATGTGTGTTCCCTGGGAATTGAACCCACAACCTTTTGTGCTGTTAACGCAATGCTCTACCACTGAGCCAGAGGAACATTTTATTATATAACTATAATAAGCCTGTCTATGCTTTATCAACCTTATCAGCTCATTTAATCCCGAAAAATGGTCAAATTGAATGTTGTTTGCCAGTTAAATATTGTTTTAGCTCCTCTATGTCCCCACCTGGCTGTGTGTGTCTCCACGGGATGATGTCCACCCCGCTTCTGCAGAAGGAGCGATCGGTATGGGACTCGGTGCTGTAGAGAACCTCCTGACACTGACGCTCTCCAGGGTGCTGCGCTTTCACACGCACCTCCAGAACGGTCACCTCCTTCTCCTTCAGCTTCCCAGACTTCCCCTTCACACGGGTGCGCTTAGTGTCCACCCACACCACACGCTCCTTCACCGCTGATCTAAGTACACATGGACATATCAAGACAATAAAGAATATTTCGCCCAAAATTGCATAAATACAAATTCATCTGTAAATCTGAACTTACTCTTCGATGCCCAGGTCAGCGAGTGTGGTGTTCAAGAAGGGAAACGCCTGGTCAAGGTTCAGAACTTCAATGGGTAGGTGCACACACATGGGAACTGTCCAGTCCAGCTCGGCTCGCACCATTTTGTCATTGGTTGGGGAGTTTAAGGGGCCATCACCATTCACCTGTTTCTCCTGAGGCTTGACCCAATGCTGGACCTCTGGATCTTTGTCCTGGCCTGCCAGCTTGATGCGGGTGTCTTTAACTGGCAGCTGTCGCTCCTTTTTGTTTTCTTTCCTGTCGTCTATAATCATTGAGTTGGTTCCTTTGATTCCTCCCAGGTTGAAATGATAACCCTGATCTCCTCAAGTCAGCTGTTGTTTTCCAAATTTGAGATCCAGTTAAACCAGATGTAGACACAAGTCTTCCCTTCTCTCTGTGCTGTTGGATTTGGGTGGTGTGAGACACTGGGGAACATTCAGAAGTCCAGTGGAGATTTAAATGGTCTGTGTGAATGTGTGTAATGTGGCGCTGACATGTGAGGTTTATTAGTCTGTCAGAGGCTGATGAATTACAGTATGGACTGGAGTGTTGTTTATATTATTAAATCATCTTTTCCCTCTCTCCAATGTTTGTGTGTGCTGCACAAGTTTAGTCTATGAACCAACTAACCAGCTCTGTGAGGCTTGCTTAATGCCTCTTTCCCTTCGTGAAATGTTGCACCAAATTTTACAAAAACATTTTTATATATAAATATATTAATAAAAAAACAATATTGGTTTTAAAGTTAGTACATAACTAAGTAGTAGTAAGTAACTAACAAATTAAATTTGGCACAAACTAAATAAATGTGAGGTTTCCCTTCATGAAATGTACTAAATATTAAAGAAGTAGTTATGATGATATTAATGATATTATCTAACTAACAAATACATTGGGGCTTCACTTTATTAACATTTGCACAAACCAACTAAATTTGTAGGCAGGGGCGCTGTAAGGTGGGGAGGTTAGGATGATTCCAAGGGCCCGGCTTTAGAGGGGAACGCGATTTCAAACGACCGCAATTGGGTTATTAACATTTGCACAAACCAACTAAATTTGTGGGGTTTCCCTTAATGAAATTTTGTACCAGATATTAATAAGAAATTATGTTTATTTTAATGATATTAATTAACTAAGACTAACTAACACATAGGAGCCTCACCAAATAACTCAATTTGTGAGGTTTCCCTTCATGAAATTTTCCACCAGATATTAATAACAAATTATGTTGATGTTAATGACATTTACTAACTAACACAGAGGAGCCTCACTTTTTTTTTTTTTTAATTGCACAAACCAACTAACTAAATTTGTGGGGTTTCCCCTCATACAATGTTTTATCTGAACAACATTGATATAAATGTTGTCTTTAACTAAATAAGGTTAGTTAAGGCTTCAATTATTAAAATATGCACAAAACTGCTAACTAAATATGTGGTTTCCCTACAAATGTAGCACCCAATATAAAAAAAACACTATATTGATATTAATTATGTTAACTAACACACTGGAGCGTCACCTTTTTTAATATTCGCATTAACAGTGGATCAGTGGGGCTTTGTGTTTTTTAATTTTTTTAATTTTATTACCAAATATAGCTAACTAATAGCTATCTAACTAACCAACCAACCAACTACCCTAACTCAAGGAGCCTTTGCATTCTGAAAAAACTGATGAATCAACCAGTCAACCTAAAACTAACTTTCCAACCAAACTACCCCAGCATTATGTTTTGCACCAAATATTTCAAATGAGCTAAGCTGTCACTAATATGTTTAGGAAGTTTGTTAAATGTCACAGATATTTCTATGTAAAGATACCAATGTTCTTACAAATCTTTTCACACCGAACAGGTAAGTGCTGGAGTTACGAAAAGCATTGAATCATTCTATACTTGAAGCATTTTCAGCTTGGTAGTGTGCTGTGCCTGGAAGAGATTTAACTCGAGTGATCTACATTCTAAGCATGTTTTGTTTTTTTTCCTGTCTGACAGGTGATTACTTGAAATGAGCGATTTACTGTGTGCTTACAGTAAAGTGCCACATTTTAATGCTTTCAGAAAACATGTCACCTCATAACTCTGCATGTTCATGGTCGTCTGGCACGAGTCTCAGTGTGGCCTCTGAACCGCTGTCCTCTTTTTCCAGCAATACAAGCTGTTCAGGATACGCAACATTCCAGTATGCTGTGCTCACCAAGTTCTACAGTAAATATTCATCTAAATTTAAATGTTGTGCTCTTGCTAATAATTAATTACACAGTTTAATGTACATATGTGCATAATTGTGATATGAAATTCTTAATATCAATATGTAGCTACATATGACAGGTAATATAAACAACTTATTGGGATTCCCTTGATCATGAGAAAGCCAAATATTAAACGATTTCTCACAGATCATCTGAAATTCCCAGCATCTGTGCTATGGGGTGGGATGGTGGTTGTCTGAGGACGGTGTGAAGCTGTTGTTGACCGTTCATAGTTTTACAGTGACTCCTCATCTGTATGCTAGCTATTGCTTAACCATATATGTCTGTTTTGCATACGTCACTCCTCACATTTTGTAATCAGTGCAGCAGAAAGTTTGGCATGGGTTTTTATTGTGTTCAGTGTGCTGCTCTGGTCCTCTGTTGTTGTTGCCGGCTGGTGTTACATTTGTGATAACTGCTTCACGGCTCTAGTTTAACAGCTTGAGGTAAGTTAGGCATGAGATCATGACCTGTGTGAGATCACTGTCAACAAGGCACAACAAAGATTTCTGCTGGGAAAGGTAATTGCTACCGTGGTTCTACAGTGCCCCCTATGGACTAAAACTGATAGGGGTAATTGAATTCCTCTTCTCCTACACTTTCAACTCATTAAAACCTCATAACTTGATCTTCTGGTGAAACAACAGATTTCTGTCTGGTGATGTATGCAGGACTTCTCCAATCCCTGAACATTTCTTACAATCGACAGACAGCTGACAGACAGAATCAAGTACAAAATCTGTCTCATTGTGACTAAGGATTTATCTTTACCTTAGATGTGGTAAAGTTGTTTAAACATGTACACTACCAGTGTCGGGGGTAACGCATTACAAGTAACGCGAGTTACGTAATCAGATTACTTTTTTCAAGTAACTAGTAAAGTAACGCATTACTTTTTTAATTTACAAGAAAATATCTGAGTTACTTTTTCAAAAAATGTATTGACTGACAGCTCTCCTGTCCTCATATTGGGAGAAATCAGAAGTGCAGAGGAGTTGTGTGCGTTGTGTGAACATGATTTCTGTAGTAACATGTTACTGTAGTTCTAGACTAAATGTGAATGTGCATTAATTCATCCCACTCACAAAAAACAGATTTAGTATTCATCAAAATGAATTAAAACGGT